TGACAAAAATCTTTTTTTTTTTGTATAACTACTTATTTAAGTATTCAAAATGATTTATAAAAAGTTTTATTGCGATGCAGAGATGAGTTTTCTGTAAATAAACAAATAAATAAATCCTATTTATTTATTTGTTTATTTACAGAAAACTCATCTCTGCATTGCAATGAAACTTTACATAAACCATTTTAACAAATAAGGTAAATTAATTATAAAAATGTATTGCTCAGTAAAAATTAAAAAATAAAAAATTTTTTTTTGTATAACTACTTAGGCAGAACTAATTTCTGGATTGCAACGAAAGTGTATAAATCATCTTCAATAATTGAAGTATCTATATTAAAAAATGAAATTTTTGTCATTATTTATAATACATTTTTTATTCTACTAGAGCAAAAATAGGAAAACATTTCTTACAAATAATTTTTGATCAGGTTTCTAAACCATCGCAAAATTTTTTGTATTATTTTGAAATGCCAAAAAAAAACTTTTACAATCTACAAAAAAAATATGAAAGTATATAAAAATTTAGCTAAATACAAATTTGAAAATAATTTTGTTTGGAGCATTAAAATAATTATATTGGACACTCTAATTGTTTTAAAATTTTAACAATTTTAAAATTTTATGCAGCATTATTATAATTATTTTTATGATCCAATAAAATTATTTTCAAAGTATTTAGCTAAACTTTTTAATACTTCAGCAAAATCGTTTTTCCTCTGTAGAATAATCAGTAATCTTTTATTATTTTGAAAATATGTGCAATACATCCCTAAAAATCTTAGAAGAAAGACTTGAAAAGTTTAAAAAAATAAACGCAACTTTGTTTTCGATAAGTTTGAAAATAAAAACATATTCTTCCCACAGAAATATTTATGTCCTTTCTAAAACTTGTACGTAAATTGTTTATAACAAACTGAAATTTACATTTCGTACCTGTGTCAAATAATATGTGAAATATAATTGAAGTACGTTTAAATTACACGAATTGGAGTGAAAGAAATGTAACGATTTTCTCTCCTTTTCTCAATATAAAAAATTAAGCTATACGAGTCACGAAGGACTACGCGATATCTCACATTAAAAAAATTAAAATTATTCTTTTAGCGAGATATTATCATACACCTTCGTGACTCGTGCAGCTAATTGCAAGCATATGTAGTTACCTGATCTATTCATCGTATCTAACAAAGCTTAATAATTTTCAAACATAGGTGATAATAATTTAATGGACATAGCTAACATAAACGTGATTAATAATAATTTAAGAATACTAAGTCTAACATAAATACAACGAACATCAGCCGACCGTTCCTTCATCTAGATATTCTACATTCAGGTAGAAAATAACACTCGGTCCTTCGCATAGATATATTCACGGGGGCGAACCCTTAAGATCCCTTTCGAGATGAAAACCAGCGGGACTGGCGTCTGATTTTCCCAACACAAAGACTTCTTCGATATCTTGACAATAAACGCTCCGCGAAAACAATCTAGCTGCGGCCCTGTGCTCCGGACTGGTGACCGATCCTCTCGGGAACGTCGCGTCGCGGCGCGACCTGCGTCGCGACGTGACGTTTCGTCGTCGCCTCTCACACATACACGCACACACACACACATACACACACACGCACGCACGCATTCCTTTACACCCACACCCGCGGACGCTCGCGCGCACGCGCGCGCACC